TGGGTATCGATTTGATGCAGATCGTCATGGGGAGATCAATGGTGGTCTCCGTTTTGCGCTACGTGGTCTAGAATTGCTAAAAATTGATTTAAATATTTGACGCCATCAATTTTTAAGTTTTTTTTTCGCTATACCGTGGCCAAAAAAGAGGTATCGATCTAAAATTTGGTATGTACCTATATCGAAAAGCGCAGGGACTATCACATATATTCCGGTTTTTCGAAATTCGATTTTTTTTGGGAATTTTAAGTTTTTCTAAAAAAATAGATTTTTTTGATTTTTTTGGGAGGAAAATCCCAAAATTTCGAAAACCCGAGATAGCAGTTTTGTAGCGCCGTCTTTTCTCTACACAACCACATAAAGAACTTTAAAATTGCTTGTCAACTGTAGATTTGGTGAGCGTTTCAAGATGTCATGTTTTTTGCTCATTATTCTCATTTCCGCCGTTTTCTCGCTATTTAAGAAAAACCACAGGGGGGGGGGCAAAATGGCCCCCTCATCAGGGCGCGGGTTAAATTTTGACGAACGGTCCAGTAGTTTCGGAGGTAGGAGAGGGGGGGGGGCGTCACTCGCGTTATGGAATATACCCCAGTCATGCTCGGGTTAAAAGTGATATATTTCCTTTAGTTTAACACTCGTCATTTGGTCTTGTTGCTCAGTGATCTATGACGATTAACACACTAAAACTGATTAGGCTAATGATAATGCAGTTAAATTAGATGAACTGCTAGTGCTATCATGCTAAGCGTTTCGGAAGTACAGCACGACGCCCACGTTTAGCACGCTGGAGAGAGCCTCCGGCTGTGGCCTGTCACATCACAACTCGCGGGGTCTTTCGCCACGCTGGTCGTCACCGTCACGGAACGGTGACCATTGCGGACAGGTCGGGAATGCGGGAGGATCCAGCATTGAGACTAATGCGTGCACGAGCCATGCTCTGCAACTGCCCCGGCCCCCGTTCACGGGGTCGGCCTGCACTCCTGCTCGACGAGACGTTTTACGAGCTAACGGCACTCTTTGGCTGAGTTTGACAGGAAACGAAGTAGGTACCCCGAACCCAACCAGCATCACGCAAGACATGGCTTGTGTCGTTTTTGAAGGATGAGGCCTGAAAACTTCTCTGCCAAGAGATGGACCACACTGATTAGGTCAGTTCTGTCAAAGGCTTCTTAAACCCACGCCGTGCTGGGGAGGGGGTGGGGGGGGGGGGGGCGTTTTTGAAATATCTAAAAAACGGCAGCGCGCAGTGCCGCTGTTTTCCTACATATGCTCATACATCATTTCCGCACATGTCAAAATTTCAGACCCGGGTCGTTCAAGTTCAGGTCACCAGGTCACGTCAAGTGACCTTACCTAGGAAAAGTTCAAAGGCTCGCTATGCTACACCGACTGAACTATTACTTAAAAAGCTTTCAGCGATTGATATGAGTAACAGTATGTATAAAATGTATGTCTCGGATTTTTTAGATATGTGACCTAAGGTCAGGTCAATTTTGCGACCTCTCCATTATAATTCAATGGGTGATAATTGAAATGCGTCTCTTTTGGACAAATGCCGTTCAAAACGCTCTCAAATAGGGGAGAGTGGGGCAAAGCGGCCACCCGGGGCAAAGCGGCCATCCATCGTTTTAGCCCTCCACAGCTGGCGTCAGTTCCAATTTATGATTTCCAATTATACTTCTCTTTGCGGTCGTTCGAATGAGCCAGACCGGGGTTTCAGGCCCATCGCCATTGTTCTGTGAAACACGGAAAAGCATTTCTTGCCAGGTTACCAATTATGTTTACAATTTTTAGTTGTTATTTTATTCCATAACCGTTTGGAATTTTTATAAGCGTTTTTGTCCATGCATTGCGTGGTTATCGTACATGCCTTCTACCAATTTTAATGCTTTTTACCCCACTAATAGCTGAGCTGGAATATTTTTGTCTCGGACGGTATGCGCGGGGCAAAGCGGCCGGGGCAAAGTGGCCAGCCCCCAATTGGCCATAAGTTGTTTCCATCTGGATAAAAACATTATTTATATTCAAATGTGTCGTCATGCATTCATCTTGGCCACTTTTCGGTTACATGACTTACCAAATTATGCAATTAAATGTTTTTCCAAGAAAATTCTTTCTTTGTTTAGCAATAGGTGGGAAGATAACAAAGTAAACATCCATCTTCCCTTAAAACTTGTCACCATCAAATACCCTAGTCGTGCATGAGGCAACTATTCTGTTTCTCATATCGGGACTTGAGAAGTCGCCAGTGGCCGCTTTGCCTCAGGGATGGGGCAAAGTGGCCAATATGCTATAGGTTTAAAGTTTTGTCAATATCTCCCATATGTGAACGCCTTTGGAAATGAAACGCAGTTGGAATAAAAGACAATTTAATAGGGATCACATTGGTATAGAAAGAATCTTTCCAAGTTTAAAAATCAAGCGTCGGCATCGTTAGAAACGTTAGGGTGGCCGCTTTGCCCCACTCTCCCCTACCTATCGGTTCATCGGTAAACATAACACACTGAATCAGAAAAACGCACCTGTGACCCCTCTGTATGCCCCTGAGGTCATCTCAGGTCACAAGCGGTCACCAGCAATTTTTTGGCTATAGCTTTTGATAGAGACGTGCTAGAGCGATGAAAACACGTCAGATGTGCTCAGATCGACGATACGGATCGACTGATATGCAACATGACCCTTTCCGGTCAGGTCATGACCTTGACCAAAGGCCAAATTTTCAAAATGACCTTTCAAGGTCGACAATTGGTTCATTCGACGCCTTTCGACGAGAGAAACACGATGCTGCCAAAATTAATGTCGTGGCTCTCTTGAGTCAAAAGTTATTGCCGAGAAACATTTTTCGTAAAAACGGTTATTTTTAGTTTTTGCCCTCTTGAGGCTAAACCGTTGACTTGAGGTTTAAATCTGAGAACATTAGTCAGAAAGGTCTGTAAAAGGGGCTATCGAATGCGCTTTTCCGCGGCGCTGTAGCTCTATTGGTTCCCGAGTTAGCCGTTGGCATTTTCCAAAATTATTGAAATGGACTAAATTTGACCTTTGATGACCTCTGGTGACCTGACCTTTGACCTGACCTTAAAAATGACCTGAGTGTTTTTTCCATATTTTTGACGCTCTTTCGATTGCCGCGTGCTGCTACGTGGCCCAGGAGCCGAGACCGCACTCCGACTCAGGGGCCCGGGAACGATTTTCAAGTTGGGGGGGCGAGCCTAAAATACCTGACATGATGCATATGAAACAGTGGCGTAGCTAGGGGTTTAAGGGGACACGTACCCCCCCCCCCATCGGGATAAAGGGGACTCTCGTGTCCGAGGGGCCCTGCGGCGCCATTTGACCGTTGAGAGTTAACGATGGCCATATTTCTACTCAGAAGAGCCCCATGGGGCTCGTCAGAGCACCTCATGGGCCCTAAATAGCCACACTTAGATCTCCATAAGGGTCCGACGCCGGCGTCTGAGGGCCTCTTGCGGCTTTTAAGGACACCTCGGTGATCTCCAAAGGCCCGTTACTGGCCTCTGAGAGGTCTTACCGGCCTATGAGGTGCCAGTTCTAGGGGCATTTCCCGCCTGTGATGGTCCCACACTTAATTTTCTTGAGGGCCCCATAACGGCAACTGTGGGGCCCTTGTCGGCGCCTATGAGGGCCTGTCTCTAAGGACCCCACAGGACTTCTTCTGCCGGCGAAAGGTCCCCTTGCCGGTCACTGAGACTCCCTGCCGGCTTGTAGAGAGTTCGCGTCAGCAGCACTAAAGGCCCCACACCCGTCTGTAACGGCCCCACACCACCGCGCCGTCTATGAGGATCCACAGCAACGCCTGTAACTTGTAAGGACCCTCATGGCTCATCGGCGCCTCTGAGAGAATCACACTAGCACATCTGAGCGCCCACACCGGCACCTGCATGGCGGCCCCACACCAGTGCCTCTAAAGGCCCCTTACCGGCGGCTCTGAGGGCCCTACGCCGGTGATTCTGAGGGTGCTACCGATAACCGAAGGCACCACACAAGCCCTTAGTGTCGCTGAGCTTTAATCCCATACCGGCCCTCCGAGAGCGCCACGTCAGTGCACTCATTGCCCCACACCCCTCCATCACATCCGGAGGGGGTAAACTGTGTCATACCTATAATAGCAACGATTTTACCACCGTTGTACCTACGTTATGCATTTCTCAAAGTTGACTCAAGCTGGTGCAGTATAAAATCTGGCCTGCCAAACTTATGGCCACGATCAGGCCCAAATCAAAGCGGGATGACAATAGTCAATAGCAGATGTTGTCAAATCGATACCTACTGTATCAGCTGAAACCATTCAGATGACAAGGAAAATGCCATGTGTTGATGCTTAGATGTATGTATGAAGGAAACAAGAAGGAAAAAAGTCCGGAAAAGGGAGGAAAGGTCTTTTCTCGCTGCCTCAATGTTGAGGGGGCGCCGCCCCCTCGGCTCTCAAGTTGGGGGGGCAGGCGCCCCCGCTGCCCCCTCTGTTCCCGGGTCTATGCTCCGACTCGGCCAGAGTAAAATCACTGGACTATGCGTTGCAAAAATAATTCACACAAGGAAATTGTTTTTTAAAGTGATTCTGTTTGGTGACACAAAGCATAAAAAACATAACCGGACTGCGAGCGGACCAAAAGTTCTCGTGCTAGCTCTGTCCGCTCTGTCTGCTAATAGTGCACTGCAGTCATTGCAGTCTGCAAACAGTGAATTTTATAGTCATTTTATAGTCCTTATATATTTATAGTCACCGTGAGAAAACCCTTGATGGTGTTTTCTGCTTGGTTTCTACACAAGCTGAATACCGATCATTAAACGCTTAATTTTTAGTTAGCTTTGTTTGAAGCTATTTTTTTTAGCAATCTCCACTATCTTCATAAAGAATAGACAAGATATGGCCCCTTGTTTTTAATATTTAATAAATTGGCTGCTGCATGCTTAAGGGTTCGTAGCAGCTGCGCCATTAATGGCTTTCATTTCTGTCCGTGCCTTATGCATATCAGGGTATATGCATATAGCCTTGCCTAATGTTGTGCTCAATGCTGTGTGCTTTGTGTGCGTTGTGTTGGTGACTGGTGTTATTATTTTCGTTTTCCCACTTGTTTCAATTTGTATCTGCTCACCCAGTGAGAGAAGAAAGAAGATAGACGCTTGATCCCTGACTGCTACGCGCCCTTATCCAACAAGAACAAGAACAAGAATTTCAGTTGGGCAAACTAGACTTTTGGAATCAAAATATGGAGGCATCAATAATTTGATTCTGGTGGGAGGAGCCATGACCAAATATGGGCATGGAATAAATTTTTTGATTCATTTGGGTACGCTTTTGACTTCAAATGAATCGTTACGGTTGAAAAAAGGCCCATGACGGTGAGACATTTCTTTTAAAAGGTAGAAAAATGTGGTAGGTTTCCAAAAAGTGTTACCTCAAAGCTAAGAAATTGTCCCTTTGGCCTTGTGAATGGGAAAAAGACAGAGCCACTGTCCATCACGTAAAAGCTGTTTTGAGGAAATCACACTGTATGTTATTTTGGTATCATGAATCACATACTAACCAATCAGTATTTGTGTAAAATGGCAAAATGAAATTTTTAAACCCCTAATTATCATTGATGTAGTGCTTTTATATTATTTATATGGTTTTTACCTGTTGCTTCAGTTTTTGTATTCTTGACATTTATAAATTGTGAATTGTTATCAAATGTAGTGAAGGTAAAGTACAACAATGCTATAGGTATCAGTTGTGGTGCTGAGGATACCACTAAATGAGAATAATAGCAAGATAAATGCTGTATTCTTGCAAGTCATTGTTGCCTATCTGTTAACATTACCTGTGAATCAAAATAATGATAAGCCAGCTGATGGGGAATCAATATCAGTCGGGGGAGGTTTGGTCAATCGTTGTCATTTTTAGCACGTGCTATTTTTGTCACACGTGCTAAAAATGACAACGATTCTGCTATTTTTGACAACGATGAGGCCGATTTCACTCCTCAGCGAGGAAATGAAGATTTTGGAAAGATAAACACTGATTTTGGAAAAGAAGTGCTGCCACCTGGTGCAAGACGAAGAATCCAGCTTTAATATGCCTGTTATTTGTATGGTAGTTTGTTTTGTGGCCTGAAGTTGGAACTTAAAATTGAAGCATCCGAAAATGATCGATATTGATCAAAAACATGATGTTGATGAAAAAAATAATATTTTAAGTTGAGAGAGGAGGCCATTTTATCCAGATGCAGTAGTTTACTTCTTGAAATTATTTTTGCTAATGACGGCTGCTAATTATCCCTCATTACATGGCAGTCGTCGTAAGCAAAAATAATTTCAAGAAGTAAACCACCGCATCTGGATAAAATGGCCTCCTCTCTCAACTTAACATATTATTTTTTTCATCAACATCATGATTTCGATCAATATCGATCATTTTCGGATGCTTCAATTTAAAGTTCCAACTTCGGGCCACAAAAAAGGGTATACTTCAACGTTGGACTACCATACAAACAACGGCCATATTAAAGCTGGTTTCTTCTTCTTGCACCAGGTGGCAGCACTTCTTTTCCAAAATCAGTGCTTGTATTTCCAAAATCGTGATTTCCTCGCTGAGGAGTGAAATCGGCTTCATCGTTGCTAAAAATAGCTGATAGCGTTGTCATTTTTAGCACATGGTTGCCAAAAATGGCATGTGCTAAAAATGACAACCATTGACCAAACCTCCCCCAACTGATATTATGATTATCTGTTTAAAGTGAATCAATTCCTTGATTGCCTTTCACTACCTATAGAATTCAAATTGTTATGATAGGAGCAGTATTATTTTGCTTAGGAGATAGTTCAAGCATTTCTGTTCAAGATCAGGCATGCTCCTTCTTGAAACACTCTCTTATTTTTATGTGATTGGTAAGTTAGAAATGGTCTGCATTTATGCCCAAAAGGAATCAATCTTTTGATGCCTCCATATTTTGATTCCAAAGGTCTAGTTTGCCCAACTGATTTGTATCTGTTGGGGATTGAATATCTGCAGGGCCCTTGGAGTCCAAGTCGGTGTTAATCTAAAAATAGGCATTCTTGTCACATAATTATCACATAAAATGTACATACCGTTCGATGAGGTAGCCATGCACTTAACTTCCATTACAATTATTTGTATGTTGATGTCATTGTATCAAAGTGTTACCACCATTGGTTTGAATAAATTTTTGGTTAAAGTGTGAGTGATTCTGGTATTGGTGTCAAGATCTCATGGCGACACCTATGATATGGACCGAATGCGAATGGCTCTTTGATGCCTGGATCCCACGCATGTTGTCATATTTGTTAATTGCAGAGAAGAGATTTTAAATGGCGAATTCTAATTGGGAGGGGGGCAAATCATGTTCTGGCCGCCCTTAGTCCTGACATTGGCTTGGTTGGACCCTCTTGGATCCACCAGTGTTATTAACATTTTTGGCCCAGCACCTACCTACATTATGAATGTTGCATCACTTAATACCATCTTACATCTTTGTTACCTATTGAATATGTTTCATTCTATCAAAGTGATCAAAAGCTTTTGACCAAAATGAAAAGCAGATGGTGGCCCTTCACCTTGATCATTGATGATATTTCATTTGACTTCAGCACAATGAACACCTGAACAATGAGTCATTGAAGAACTATGAAGAGCTCAAAGTATTGTATTGCCAAAAAAGCAATAAATATGAATTCTGTCATAAATAAACTTCATTTAATAATTATGTTTCTTTCTTTGATTAAAAAGTTTTCAATCTTTCTCCAGCCACTGCAATATGTTTAGGTAACTGCTTAAGCTGTGTTTCCATGTGCAATTTTAGGTCACTTAAGGTGATCTGGTTTTCTTCCTGGACATTTTTTATATGAGCTCAATATTTCTAAGAAGTGTGTGCAATACATTCAGCTCACCTGTTGAATGTTGACACACAGATCGGAAAATGACAGCACACACCAGAAGAAAAACATGCAGTAGGCAGAAGTCTACCCCTAATCTGTCCTCAGTCCTGGGTTCATTTTGTTGTCACATTAAGAGAATCCATCAAACTAACTGACATTCTTTTGTTTTCCTAGGACTTCAAGAGCTACACAACTGGCTACTCACTTTGGTACACATTATAATATGGCAGTGTAGGAGCAGAGGAATTGTGTCATCTGGAAGTCCTGGACTGCTGCTTGAAATTGAATGGAGATCATGCATGAGGTGGGTAATGATAGTTAATAGTTATGCTGTAGGGAAAAGCTACAGTATGTTGTAATTCTTTGACAGTTGTTATTATCATCGATGTGGTATATGATCCTTTTCTTGTTTCTCTTTAAGGGATATCTGTAAAATATATAGTATTCTAAGTTTATGATGTTATGAATAAATAATATGCATTTTTTACTTGAGACTTAAAATGCCACTTCTCAGTATCCTGCTCAAGAGTTCAGTGAGACACTGTAAGTCATCATGAACTCCATTTACAGTCCTTTGGATTAATATCAATTTGCTGTAGTCGATAGTACCCATTTAAAATGATGCTTACATATCAAGGACAAACAGAACTCAGAATGGCGTTTACTGTTCAATGACCCGCCGTTCCCTTCCCAGTTGCAGCCAGAGCGTCCCTCGGGCGCCGACGAGCCCGACCTGCTGGAGCTGACCGCGCAGATGGGCGATGTGCGGATCGGCGGCCGGCCCGTGTCGGCGCTGTTGGCCCACCAGGCGGCCCCGCCGCGGCCCGTCCCGCTCCTCTCCCAGAGCCAGTACCGGCCACCGGAGCCTGCTGTCGTGTACTCGGTGTCTGTCAGTCCGCCGCAGCCGCCGGCCGGCCTCGGGCAGCGGCCCGGCCCGCAGCTGTCCCCGAGCCACTACCAGTCCGGCTCCGGCCTGACCGCCGAGTACCTGCCGTCTTCCAGTCCGTACCAGCCATCTGTCGGTCAATATATCCCATCTACCAGTCACTACCAGCCATCTACCAGTCAGTACCAGCCATCTACCAACCAGTATCAGCCTTCTACCAGTCAGTATCATCCACCTGGAGGCCAGTCTTTTCCATCCACAGGCTGGCCGGCTGCCCCTGCCGGGCCGTACCAGCCGTCTGCCACCCTGTATGAGCCGCCACATGGACCGTACCAGTCCCCAGCCAGCCAGCGGCAGCAGCCGGCAGGGGCCTGGCCCGCCGTGTCGGTCCCTCGGCCGCCGTCCCCGGTCAGAGTGGTCGCCCCAGCGGCGCCGGCGGCGACCTCTGTACAGGAGCGACAGAGCAGTGCAGGTACGGACCAGCCGTCCAACGACAGCCCGACACAGTCAACGGTACGGGTGCACGCTGCAAATATAAGTGTTGGGTAATATGAGTTATCATGGTTTTTTACTTTATACGAGTAGCTGATCGTTTTCATGAAAAAAAAACAAGCAATTTGCTTTATGACCCAGTACCGAAGATGCAATTACTTATTTTGTTTACCAGGCTTGGCACTATTTATATTCACATACAAGACATACACACTTCCCTGGTGAAACTAAAACATCCAAGTAAAACCAAGTCCAAGAAAAGTTCAAACTTTTCTCAGAGCGGCTGTTGACACGTTCAGTAGGCATTGTTCCACATCAGCTCTGTGACGGGCACGGTCACTGTCACCCCTCAGAGCGACTGCGGCTGCAGCACGAGGCGTGCGGTCGCCTGCGGCTGGAGCTGGATCGCACCCGGCGCCTCTGGGACCGTCTGAATGCGGAGACGGCCGACCTGACCCGGCGGCTGGAGAGTGTGCCAGCAGCACCCCTGGTGAGCTGCTGTGGGGAGCTCCGGTGAGCTGTGGGGGAGCTCCGGTGAGCTGTGGGGAGCCGGGTGAGCTGTGGGGGGCCTGGTGGGCTGTGGGGGAGCCTGGTGGGCTGTGGGGGAGCCTGGTGGGGAGCTCTGGCGAGCCAGGGGGAGCCCTGGTGAGCTGGAGAGTTTTGGTTAGCTGGGGACTGCTCTTTTGGACTGGAGAAACTCATGGGGGGGGGGGGGGGGGATGGGGACAACTGTGGGGTCTCTAGGAAACCGCATGAGCTCTCAGTGCTTATCGTTTATATCTTAAGATGTGTATTGTGTATCGCTCAGGTGATTCCGTATTCTTCATCATCTTGACTCTCCAGGCCAGTCTCGCACATGGTGTGTATCTGCTGTCTGTTGTGTAACAGTTGACCGCCTCTCTGTCAGGTGGATAACCGTCTCCGGTGGGCAGAGTCGAACCACCGCCTGCGCCGGGAGTGTGATCGCATGGTGACCGAGATACAGGAGCTGCGGACAGCACAGCAAGGTGGGCGGCCGGGGCCCCGGTGGAGGGATGGAGGGACAGGGGGCTGGGGCAGCCAGTGAACGAGGGAGAGTGGGTACCGGTGATGTGAGAGTCCACTGAGTGAGATGGAGAGGTTGGAAGGGTAGAAGGGAGAATAGATTGGTTGTCACCATTGGCAAAGAAAACAAGTGACGATTAGTGATCGAAACTCTAAAGAGTGGGATTTTAGAAGTGTTGTTTCTTTGAGTCCCCTTTTCTGTTTGTTCCACATTTGTGCCTATTTCAAAATGTTCTTAACGTAAAACTCAACTATGCAAAACTGGTGTTTACCTGCAATTGGTACTTACAAGCATCTGAGCATCATGTCCGTTTTATCTGCTGAATTTCGTAGCCTTACACTTCTCAATATTACCGGTTACCATCGACTTTTGAACTCTTTGTAGTTGTACTTAATTTCCTGTTTGTCTTATGCTTGTGGTCTGTTGGTCGCCAGCGTGTAACCGTCCTATCGCGTTGGTCCACAGTCCGTCGGAGCTCTGCCAGTTCCAGCAGCGGGGTGTCGACACTGCGACATACTCAGTCAGGTGAGAACCGTACGCGTGAGAACTCGGCGAAAACCGCGCACGGCTGCCCATAACCGCCAGCCAGCGCCACCCTCGCGAGTAACAGACGGACCGCCCGTCTCCCTGACTCGGCACTGCGGTGATACAGGGCCGTGCCCAGTTGCGTGGCTTGTGCCACTCAAAGACGCATTTGTGTGTCTAAGATCTGCTGCAGGGATTAAGGCTCCGTCAGTTTGCTTAGTCTTGTCAGACGTCCGTCACATCACTCGATGTAGTGCCTAGTGCCGCGTATCGCCTGGTGGTTCAAGGGGTGCCGTTGAGGACAGGGGGCGCTCGCACCACCAATCGTGGCTGCGGAATCCGGACAACACACGCGGTGGTCGGGCACGTGGTCCGATCCCGCCGTCAGTTCCCGGGCGGCTCGGAATGATGTGAGGTGTCTGTTAGACAATACCTAGTTACTGACTGATCAATGTTTGTAGGGCCTGATGAGTTTTTGATGGCAGAAGCCTTTTCCGATGTGTGGATCTGTGTACTCTCAATTTGCCCGCTGAAGAGATGTTGTGTATCAGGGTATCGGTATATGAGCGACAGGCTACTCTGCGTAGGTGCCATTGTGTCACTAACCGGTGTACTCTCTGCACAGGTGCCGACCCGGAGGATGTGGGCGAGGGCCCGCCGTGGGAGTGCAGCGCGTGCACGTTCCACAACCACCCGGCCATGTCCGCCTGCGAGCAGTGCGAGATGCCGCGGCCGCTGACAGGTACGCCGGCGGCCGCCGCGCCCGTGCCGGCCGCCGCGCCGGGCGGCTCGGCGCCGGCCGCCCTCCATTCGGCCTGCTATTGCCACCCGGCGGGCGGTGCGCCGCGCGCTGCCGTCCGCAGCACCTACTGTAGCTGGCCGGAGTCGGACGGCTCGGCCGGCAGCGGCGGGGGCGGGGGCGGCCGGGCGGGCCTCCAGTACCGGCTGGGGACCCTCTGAGCGGGCCTCCAACACCGGGGCCTGGGGACCCTCTGAGGCGGCCCGCCCTGCCCGTGAACAGGCTGTGAGGGAGGGACGGACCGACAGGGGCGCCGTCTGGTTCGTTACACTGCGTCCGAGTCCCCGCAGGCTTCAGTTCTAGTCGCTGCTTTGAGACGGGACTCCGGACGTTAGGCTGTTCCACAGAGCCCGATCATGTAACCGGTTTAACCCGAGAAGCTGCCTGTGTGACTGGCGACACGGCGATTTTGCAGCCTGCAGGTTCAGACTGGTGGCCGCCCTCCCCCTCCGTTCAGTGTTGCGCCCTTCCAGTCAGCGAGGCGGTCAGATCTCTCAGGGTTGACAGTGTTCGGTGACGTGACTCGACAGCCGGGCGCCTCTGGGTTTGTGTGTGCGTGTATGTGAGTGTGCATGCCTGTTGTCTGTCCCCAGAAATAGCTGACGTTTAGGAGTGCAAACGTCACGAGAGAGGGCGGCACTGTAGTGGTACACGCCCGCGTTTGTTTTGTCCCTCAGCTGAAACTATTATCGTCTCGCTAAGATAGCCGATTACTGGGCTGATGGGGCTACAATTGTGATAATCTGATCCTGGAACGTGGTCGGACGGACGGCGGGAGGCTGGCGGTTTTTTGTTTGCCACTTCAGAGCAATACTCCGATATATGTGGACGATCATCTGGGCGTGGCTGCCCGAGGTATGCGGTCCGGGCCGGCGCCGGCGGCCGCCGTGATTGGCTCCCGGCGCCGGCTGTTGTCGTAGGATGTCTCTCCGAGTCAGCCGAGCTGCCCGAGGTGCTGGCAGCCGGCGAGTCGGGCCGCATCGGCCATCGATTTCCCAGAGCGACACTGCGGCACGCCGCCAGAACTGTCATACGTGACAGGCAGCCAGTCCAGCTCCAATCGGCTAATTCAGAATACTAACGTACATACTGCGTACACTACTCATCTGGTGCTTCCTCAGTGATACGTTCAGTGTGTCTCAGTAACAGCCTGTCCTTCCCTCGGTATAGCGTTCAGTCTAGGCTCAGGCGCATTCTACCTGCCGCAGGGTAACTATCCATATCACAGTTGCCGCATCATGTGCCCCTCCATTCTCAGTCAGACTCCCGAGGACTCAACTAACTCCGATTCTATCGTCCCTTCCTACCGCCGTTCATGTTATATATGTCTGCTAACAAATATAGTCGTGCTGCAGGTGCTGATGTATGATATTTGTGTGTTACACATTAATCAAAATAGTGTCACAAGAAGGAAGTCACTTCTTGAGCGGTAGTTGTGCGTATGTCGCATCTGTGTTGTTTCCCCTGTAACCTTGGCGGCAATGTTGGTCGGTACCTGTCGGACCATTGGTCCCGTGTAGTCCCGAGACCAGCGGACCGCGCGATGTCCTCGCCGCCCGCCAGGACCGTGCTGCCAATACATACCTCTCCTTGTGGCCGCGTGTGTCTGAAGTGGCAGCTGGGGTAGGCGACGGTGGTCGACCAGTTCGGAGCTATCTCTAGGTCCATCCAGGTGAACATTTTTGAATCGCCGCAGGTCTTCCGTACCCCTCAGTCTGACCACCCACTTGTCCCTTTCCCCTCTCTCCTTTGTATGCCGACTATCGGTTGCATTCCGTCCCTTGCCTGTCTGCATTCTGCTCCCTGGATTTTGCCAGCTCCGACCGATGGTGCAGAACCTTGCTGATCACTAATGTCACCTCCGCACCGCTGCAGTGTGCCGGGTGTTTGCCCCGCCCTGTTTGCCCTGTCATACTCGGGGCTGCATCCCTCGAAGCTGAGTTGAGTAGGTCAACTGTATAGTTAGGGGCTGAAATTAGCGTGTTTTATAACCTGTTATGCTTCGGGATTCCCCCCACTAACTCCGTCTTTCCGAAGCTGCCTGCTTTTCAGATCGCGTTGTGAAATTGCTTTTTTGGGATGCTGATGCAGCCTAGTTAAACCCAGCACCATTAACGGACTCCCGTGCACAGATGTGATGCCTAATTTTGCCACTATTATCTAGCCCGCACGTTTGTTCTCTAGGTGTGCACACTGACTGCCGGTCGCCTGTAGCCCGATTTGGGGTAGTGGCCTGCCTGAACTGCCATTTTGCTCTGTGATCACTGCACATTGGTGGCAATGCCTCTCTGCTCCCTGACTGCTTGTCTGCCTGTCCGCCTGCGGGTGGTGTAGATAGTGCCTGTGTGTTATCCTCCACCTGCGGTCTGCAGATTCAGCCTATCTGATCGAGCCTACATGTCTGCCCTCAGCTCACGACAGCGGCTGACCCGGCGGCGGTCCATATAGCCTCTACACAGGGTGACTGGCCTGGCTTGGTGCACTGTGCCGTAACCAAGGCCATATATAGGGCCGTAACCGCCGTAACCTGTGCCCTGGGTGGATGACGGATTTGCCCAGCAAGAAACCTTTGCACGTGGATTTTTGACGCACGAACCTCTACTTGGGCTTCTTTCTTGGAGCGGCTGACATAACGCACTACAGTAGCCTCTGCCCGGGACGGCTAGTGTGTCAACCCCAACATTATTCTCTGCTCCGGAGCTCGCTGCAGTGTTGTTGTGAGCTCTCGCCCGCACTGTACAGTGAGTGACCCTGAAGGTAACGGTCAGTACTGTGTTATAGGGTCTGTTCCAGTCGCACTTCCTAACACCTCTAAACTCCTCCAAGAGCAAGATAGAGGAGGTTGGAGCTTGGCCATCCTTGGCTTTGTAGGGGCTACAGCTGCCACTGGAACAGGGAAGCAATCTTGGAGGAGTTTAGAGGTGTTAGAAAGTGCGACTGGAACAGACGCATAGTGTACCAGAGGTGACGCTGGTCCTCCGCTCCAGCAATGATGGTACACACCGGGGTGCCAATGTGGCGACGATCGTGCCAAGTCATGTCTGTGCTGAGGTTTATCTCGGTGCTGGATGAATGCGGAATGGAGATGATAGACAGTGGTGCTATTTTATTAATCGTGATATGAATAATACATTTATTATGAGTCTGTATTCCTGGTCTGTTTATGACAGTGAGATGTGTTTGAGGATTTTTTTTTACATTCGCTCAACGTATTTTGTTGCGTATTGTCACTATAGGTCTATTCCGATGTTATACAACATAGAGATGATAACCTTGTCATCATTCCCAATATCTGCAAAGGTTAGCGTAACTGTGGAACGCCTACGGCACCGTCTTTATATCTAAGGCTCCCACCCACCCCAACGCCGTTTTGCGGCGCGGCGGGGAGGCCAGAAAGGAAAGGCGGCTGGCTCGTTACCGCTGCCGCAGTTGTGGCCACAATTACTCTCCCCGGTCCACCTGTGGCCACCACAATACGTGGCGCTGGCCGCTGTAACGTGTCGCTGTGTAAATATCGCTGAGCCGAGAGAGCGTCCGGCAGACCGACTGCGGAGCGGATAGAGGTTCAGGTGGGTAGCCGCGACCAAGGCCCTAGCCGCGGTGACGGGCGACTGGCGATGCTGCAGTCTCCCGTGGCTGACGGACGTTACGAAAAACGACCGAACGTCGGACAAGCTTTGTGTATCTCGATATACATTTGACGTGTTATTGTTATCATTTACCATTCTTCTCTCAGGCACACTGCTTCACTCTTAGCCTGTTGGTAAACTAGGCTAATGTTTTGTTCATTGCTGGTCATTTTTTTTTTTAAATTTGGTGTGAGCGCCGTTTTGGAGCGTGTTCGGGATTTATTAGCAAACAAATCGACCAGGTAATGAAGCGGGCCCTTTTCAGGTCTGACGAGGTAAAAATAGAATTGACCGGAGCTGTGTGTTGTTGCGGTCGCGGCGGTCGCCATCTTCACCGATCTCCCCCTCCCCCACCCCCCACCCCCACCTCGGTAAATTACAGCAGTTAGTGCTGTGACGCGCAAACTGCAACTCCGGGTCAGACTAAACAGCTGAAATTGCTGTGCGGGAACTCGTCCCGCTTCGGTCCCGCTATTCGGTTCAGATTATCGTTTTGCGTCAGCCAATCTCTGTCTGCTGGATGACGAGGCTGTCAGTGCAGTGATTGCTGTGGATGCCGATCGTTCCTGCACAGCCGTCGGCGGGGCGGTGTCGGGTCTCACTGTGTCCGGCCGAAGACAGATTCCGTCGTATCGTCACTGACTCCTCCTCTGCACTTTGGCGGGTGGTTGCTTATGTTTCAAATCGAATGAAATGTAGACCTCATCATCCTGTCTTACCTGTCTCTCTTACCTAGGTATCTGAATTTGCCCTGATATTGACCTGAGATCGAAGCTTTGATTGACCTTTTCCCAGGCGATGTCTTTGCCCATATCATTTGACACAACGAGGTATGATAAACTCGTCAAACCATCATGGGTCAAACCCTATGGGAGAGCTTTTTGAAGTTATTTGCCGACAAGGGCGCACACAAGGGGGGGGGGCACACGGGCCCGTGCCCCCCCATTCGAGTTGGGGGGCCCAACTAGAAGGAAGGGGCCCATTTGAGGCGGCCGAAGGCCGGGACTCTCAGATGGCGCTTTAAAGGGCCCTCAGATAGCCTCAAAGGGCCCTCAGCTAACGTCAAACGGACGTCAGAAGGCCTTAAAGGGTGTCAAAGATCCCTGAGCTGGCGTCAGAGGGCCATGCCCTTGCGTCAAATGGCTCTCCGAAGGCTCTAAAGCAGGGGTCGGCAAATGGTGGGGCATGCCCCCTTTGGGGGTAATGGAGCCCTTTCGGTGGGGGTAATGAGGGATTCTGAGAAAGCCTATCTTTTTAGAGTTTGTAGCTCCAGTGATGGAGCCATCGTGACTGTTGCATCCCAGGATTCAAAGATTAGCCCAGGCCAAAGGCACAGCACACATTGATTAGATACCAATTTTCACGTACGGGGACCCGCAGTTGCTTCTGTACACGAACCCTAACTCTAGCCGTCTGTCCTGTCCAGTAACGACCGATAACATTGATATCGACTGTCGGTCCGTGTAAAAGAGCAGCTGAGGTTTTCTGTGCGTGCCCTCTGACAGCTTTTCGTTGTTCCCTGTGAGGGTGCTGGGACAATTTACTCAGGGTCGCTGTACAGTAGCAACTGCGGGTCCCCGTACCTGCTCGCCTCACCATTTCACCCCTCCGTACAGTCGTACAAAAGAAGCTGCAACTTTTAACCGTCGCCCGTCTGTTGGCGTTTCCACAGCCGCTAACGTAAGGGGGAGGAGTCGATCGGACCCCCGCGGCCTCTCGGACTCTGAGATGGAGCTGTGCATAAAAAAGACGAGCGTGCTACCCGTGACAATAGGAAGCCGCTGCTGCCCATTTTTAAGGTCCTTGGTCATTCCGTCTCATTCAAGAGGGCAATGATAAGTGTCGAGAAAATCGGGACCCGCTATACTTTCTTGAAGTGAGATTTTATGGCTCAAGATGATCTCCAGGAAAAGCTCATAAGCCAGCGGTCATTATGCCGGGTCCAGAGGCCAGTTTTACCAACAGAAAAATAGCCGCCTGCCGGAATTTTTTGCCTAAAGTCAAGATCGTTTCACATATGGAGCGTAAACGGTAAAGCCCTATCCGCTTACGTGCCCATCGCGTTTACGCTCCGTATGTGAAGCGGTCTTGAGGCAAAAATTCCGGCATGGGCGGTTATTTTTCTGTTGGTAAAACTGGTCTAAGGTCATGATATTTTCCGGGCTGGTAAAAAAAAATAAATGATGGGTTCGAGGGTACAATTTGGTCGTGATCCAATGCCTTTTACGTGAGCTTTTAACGAAAAACCACCCGCCGCCCCTATACGTACAAGGGTTAAATGGGGTATACTGCATAGGCGGTGGAACGGGGAGGGCACCGGGGCACCGTGCCCCCTTTGATTTTTGCATTTTAACATTAGCCCTATGGGCGTTGCATGGCAAGAATGGGACCAAAAGTCGGCAGTGCCCCCCCCCCCCCCCCTCCCCCTTAATTGAAGGTGTTCCGCCGCTACTGGGATATTGGTATTAAATGTTTTGTGGAGGAAGTGTCATGTTTTAAATTTGATGCATTGGAAATGCAGAAATACCCAAAGAGTCCCAGGACGGTATGGAATTTCAGTAGACTTGGTTGTGTCAGCAATGGGGTCTGGTAGGTGGGGGTAATGGCCCTGCCTGGCGCCCAAAAAGGGGGCACGACCCCGAATGACCTGCCGACCACTGCTCTAAAGGGTCCTTAGCTGGTGACAGAGGGCCCCCAGCTGGCGCCAAATGGCCATCAGAAGGCCTCAAACGGTCCTCAGCTGGCGTCAAGCGGCCCTCAAAAAGCCTCAAGGGGCCTTAGAAGACCTCAAGGGGCCCTCAGAAGGCCTTAAACCATTTGGTCAAATTGTCAAAGGGCCTTGAGCTAGCGTCAGAGAGCCCCCCCCCCCAGCTAATGTCAGAGGGCCCTGAGCTAGCGTCAAACTTAAAGTGCCCTTAGCTGGTGTCAGAGGGCCCCAGTTGGTGTCAGAGGGTCATCCATTGGCGTCTAATGGCCATCAGAAGGCCCACAAACGATCCTCAGCTGGCGTCCAACGGTCCTCAGCTGACTCAAGAGGCTCTCAAAAGGCCTTAAAGGCCCCTCGACTGCTCAAAGGACCCTTAGAAGGCCTCAATGGGAACTCAAGAGACGTTAAACGGCCCTCAAAAGGCTTGAAAGGGCCCTCTGCTGATGGCAAAGGGCTCGCACCTGAGTCAATAAGAGCCTTGTCAAAAAACGGACCTGAGAAACCTTGCCGGCCCTGGTTATCTGCGGGACTCCTACACTTACCTGAGTGGCCCCCGTTTACTGAGGGGCCCTGGTTATTGATGGGGTCCCTGGTTACTTAAGGGGCGCCTGGTTACCAGAGGGGCCCATGGTCACCTGGTGGGCCCCTGATCAATTGAAAACCCCTGGTCATCTGAAACGCCCCTGATTACCTAAAGGGTCCCATCACTTGGATTCAGTGACATAGCAAGGGAGCGAGGGGGTACGTGCCCGTTCTCGGGTTTAGGGTTCCTTCAAAACCGAGGGGCCCTGCGGCGCCAGTTGGTAGCAGAGGGTTCGCGCTGGCCGCACTTCAACTCGGAAGGACACCACAGGGCTTGTGGGGGGACTGGCTCCTATGTAGCCACAATTATCTTCATAAAGGCCCAATGCCGGCTTCTGAGAGACCTCGCCGGCCGCTCAGGGCCCTAGTAACGGCCAACGAGGGATTGGCTGCTATGGCTCCACATCCGTCTGTGATAGACACACGGTCCACACCAGTGTTTCTAAAGGCACCCACAACGGCAACTGCGAGGCCCCTCGCCCCACCTCCAAGGGACCCCCACCAGCGCATCCATCGGCGGCTCTGAGAGTCCCCACACCGACGCCTCTGAGGGCCACGTACCAGTGACTCTGAGGCCTCTTACCAGCCTCCGAGTGTCCTTGCCAGCCTATGACGGGCCACTTTCCACTTGCAGGCCATTTTGCAGGGCCACACACATGCCAATGATGGCCCCACCAGTGTCTCTAAGCCCTAAGACCCCGCAACGGCGCCTGTGAGGACCCAACACCAGCGCATCTGACGGCCTTTCACTGGCACCTCTGAGCGCGCCACACACCGGTGACTCTGAGGAGCTCGCTCGCTTCGCTCGCTCGTAAAATACCAGAGCTGGGCAAGTGAGTTCCTTTAGTACGTTCCTGCGTTCTTCCGTACGTACGCACCGCCCTTTTTAGGAACGCAAGAACGCAGGAACGCAAAGTTTTTCAAAGGAACGTAAGTAAGAGGAACGCACCACCCGAAATTTTGAAGCGTTCCTGCGTTCTTGCGGAACCACCCGAAAAATCATATTGCTGCCAATGACCTCTGTGTCAAATGTTTGAAACTCGAGTACGTGTGTTTGCCGGTAGAGGCGCCACTTGTCGGTCGAATCGAGGAAGGCTTGGTTAGATTTAGTGGTGATGTTCACTATTCGATTCGGTTTCAGGCATGAAATGTGTAAAGTAAATATGATAACTTTTACTTAGATACATCTTTCAACTTAACTATTGTTTTTAAGCAGGTCGTATTTTTGTTGAAAACCCTACGGATGATATTGGTAAAACGTATTTCAGATATTCGATTCGGAAAAGAGATGTCGAGCTGCTTTTCGGCCTCGCGTCGCCATTCTGGGTAGGTATTCTGTGATCGATTCGCCCCGTGTTTGGTTAGGCCCGCGCCGCGTGGTTCGGCGGTATTTCTTTGTCCACGACTTCGGTTGTGAAGAACACGCCTGTAGTGTTGGACTGGCGCGATTTGCCTACTTTGTCCGCTACAGTGTTGCGTTGCACTGATTTTGGTATGATTTGCTGCTTGGTAGAGCCAGAATACAATACGGGATAACAGTTTGGGACGCAGGAACGCAGGAACGCTAACGCACCGAGCGAAAAAAAATTGAGGAACGCTATTCCAGGAACGCACTAACCGCGGCCGGAGGAACGCAGGAACGCTAACGCACTACCGAAAATCGAGGAACGCGCCCAGCCATATAAAATACCATGTAAATTAGGCATTAGTGTACATTAGGCACACTCCTCGGGCATAAATGATACTTTTGCTTGCCAATTTCCCACATTTTCTCATGCAAAGATCCCGTTTTAAAGAGACCCGTCTGCCAGTGAGACTGGACCTGCACCGTGCCTCCCTCCTCCCATCGAAAGGTCCTGGATCAACATCCTTGCCTGAGCTGACCCCGGGCCCCCGAGTGACTCGCGGGCCCGGGGTCAGGTGACCAGCAGGTGACCCCCTCTTGGGCGAAATTCTGGGTACGTGTCCGCCATGCATCGTACATAGTCCTGTTGATTTGATTCATTGGTTTAAATATAAGGTATAAGCTGGATCTCCTGTCTGTGATCCCGCATCGTATCAGATATAATGACATTTCATGTCGATTGTCGATGTGCCTAAAAAATATGCGAATATACGTGAAAAAGGAGTGCTGCTCCCGCTCCCACACATCCGGGCCAAACAGTGACCAGCCCCTGCTTCTAGCCACCCGGGGTCGGTCGGCCGGCCGGCAGTCAGTCGCTGCCCGGGGCTGATTTCTGAGGGACTTGCAAAAATGTGTATTAATGAAATGTTTTACGTAATAAATTAGATGATTAGGTATATGTACCGGCTCTGAGTCGCATTTGAGAAAAAACATGCTAGCGTAAAATATATATGTTTTGAAAATTAAGCTGGTACCGAAATAATTGTTTTACCATGCATTGACAAACCAATTGCTCAAGCTTCAAACCAACCGAAATATAGCCCCGTGGGCCTGATTTTTTTTTTTTGGGGGGGGGGGGCCCTTCGGCATGGGGGGCCCAGTTCGAAGGTCGTGCCCCCCATTCAAAAATCCTGTGTGCGCGCCTGTTTGCCGAAAACTGGACTCCGACATTCGGGTCTTCGACTTGGTCTGTGGTCACAGAGGTCGCCGGTTGACCCGAGTTTATAATGTAACTATTCTATTTTTCACACCATTCGCTTTAGCTCCTAGCGGCCAGCACGCATGTTTTTCACGAATCTCTAGCTCAATATGGATGTGAAACGGTGACGGGGTCATGAACCCCCCCCCCCCTGGCAAGGGTCCCGTCCTCCTATGTGTTACTTTCCCTTGGTATGGGAAGTAGGTATGTTATGGACAGGTTAGGCCGATGGTTTCTTATCTGCAACACATTCAGCCGTCCGTCAGACTGTTTAGAAACATCTACAGGTATTGAGCACTGAGCAGTCGTTTGAACTGCTCCAGCCGCAGCTCAGGTCCGAAGGGTGGGCGGGCACGTCTCCAGTGGAGTGTCGCGCCGGGACCACCCGGGGCCCATCGAACAATTAGCCCCGGCTGTCGACCGGCAGATTGCATTACCCTCTCACACCCGTCCAGTTTAGCAGTGGCTCCCTTTTTGGGCGTCGCCGGCTAACTTTTTCGAATGAAGGACTTCTGACTGGGTCTCGGGTGCTCTAGGTATAGGTAGGTGAAGAGAGTGGCTCGGCCACGAAAGCTATTTTGACCGGGAAGGAGATGGTTTCACCTGCATTCACTGGTGTTGTTTTGTGCTTTTTTGTTGTCGGTACTTCGTGGATCAACCTAAAATATATGAGGCCATTGTAACCGCCATTGACTGGGGGCATTATTGCGGTATCTGGCTTTCTAACGCCTTATACTTTCGCGCCTTTGACTAAGTATCAACCATTGAAGTACCTAAAGGATGGTCCAACTGTGGAACTATTGAAGGTTTTTTCATTTGGTTCGACCGAGTGCGTTGGAAGCCATTCGTAGGCTAAACATCTACGACTGCAAAAAAGCTGGTACCTAAGCGTGGCTAAAAATGCCGCCTCCTACCCGGGTGAAAGTTTAGACGGCCTGACACTTGCACGACTTTTGGACACAAATATGTCTGGGAAGGTTGTGCCATTTGGGGGGGGGGGGGGGGGGGCGTATTCTTACTGCATTCACCAACGAGGGTACCACATTCCCACCGACCATTTTGAGGCAGCGGCACCGCTCACGACTTCCTAGTACACGCATATTAGGCCTACAAGCGTAGTTCACGCGTAGTTCACGCATAGTTCAATGATATTTGACGAACAGTTCACGAATCAGATACGCATCGGTGTGCGCATTGTACGAACTTGCGCTCTCTCTCTCTCTCTCTCTCTCTCTCTCTCTCTCTCTCTCTCTCTCTCTCTCTCTCTCTCTCTCTCTCTCCCTCCCTCCCTCCCTCCCTCTCTCTCTTTCTCTCTCCTTCGTTCTCTTTTTCTCACTCTTTTACACGAATCCGCCATAACACGCAATGCATCAGCCTCGAGACATGATGCGAAAATATTTAGGTAGGTAGGTACCCTTTTCTCGACAAACTGATAAGCTCGGTGGAGGTTACATTGCATTGATTGAAATAATGTGTATTTTATAGGCATATCAATACAATGGCATCACACCAGGGACCGCTTCGTCCTCTTGTTCCGTCCATGAGTCACTTTGCAAGTAGACTTTGATAAGCGCGCGCAGCGCAGTCTCCTTTGCGGATACATGTCAATGTGGCATCAGCCTATCACGGTATGTCCTGGGCAAAGTTTTTTTTTGTGTCAAAGCGCTCGTTTAGCTACATAAACAATGGTTTCGTTACACTGGCATTGTCATCTTCTTAAACATGAATGCACCTGAGATATGCATATACGCATGTACGCAGTTAAGTATTTACATTAGGTATTGCGCACAGGTTAGCCGTCGTTTATACCAATCATATTTTGTTTCACGTCACTTTTGGTGAACGCTCGTCACACAAAGCTTACAAAGTGGCATGCGTCTCACTGGACATAAATGAGCGGATACAACATGAGACCGCCCAGCTGCTAGTTGCCTTTGCTTCTGCCCTCCTCCGGCCTACCCCATGTTAAAACGATCAGACTCCCTGGACGGTGCCGACTACACATTCGGCGCCGCGCTGTCCGGCGGCCCCTCGGGGCAGTGGCTCGCCCACTTGTCGCGGTTCGAATCGCACTGCAGGGTGTTGGGCTTCAGGCAGGGCAAACAGCAGCGGATCAGGTCGCCCACACCCTCTATGGAGGTGTCGACGTTCAGAGACGAGCGCTCTCCCCACTCGTCAACGCAGTAGCAGGTGTCACCCACGCACTGCTCCGGCGCGTAGTTTCCTGTGGGGTAGCGGAATATTGGGAGCAGTCAGATCGCTGGTTAGATAGAAACGAAAAAAAGAAGGAGATAATTTGGCACTTGGAACCACCTATTCACCGTAACATCAGGCAGCTGCCGCATCAGTGGGCCGTAGCCCCGATATTGTATGTTTAACAACATATGTCCTCATGCAGGCATAAATCGACATTGGACCGTTGTCCGTCAGTGCGCTATACAATGGACAGTCGCCGATTTGGACAGAGTTCGGCTCGGTATCACGATATTGGATCAGTTGGTCGTGAAGTGGACGGCCGGGATAACGACACGATATTATGTTCGTTTTCATATGTCGATATGCGCTCACCTAGCTCACCTAGAGCGAAAGAGCCTCCGGCCTCGTCCCGGCCGCCGCGGTCGCGCACCTGACGTCACGAGGTCAATCCTCGGAGCTAGAGCGTCCGATAAATGAGTGTTCGGGTACGGTGCCTGCCCGTCCCGAAAACTAGCATTTATTTCTTATGTTTTTATTTTCAAGTCCGTTGCTGATCATTTCTTACCTGTTGTTTCACACTTTACTCTGGAGAACATCTGTGCCACCGGGTCCTTGTCGTTGTGATCCCGGGCACAACCTGGTGAGAAGAGCAAGCCAGAGGTGTTGGTGACAGGCAGCTATGCGCTTCATTACGAAAATAAAAATTATGGAATATAACCGTGGCAAATTCAGACCAGCGAACCATAGAAACGGAATGCATTAATTCCTAAATCCTGAATGCACTGGAAGCTCATGAATTTTAACAATTAACACAAACTACTCTATATAGTATATCGTAATAGAGTAGTAAATGACTTAAATTAAACTAATACCTACTTTTCGAATTTCCTTACAGTAACGCTACTTTAACTAGGGACGGGCATAAAAAAGATAATTTAGGCACAACGTGCCTTACTCATATCACTATAGTCTGGCAAATCTAAGAAAGAACGGATTCAAAGTGCACCGGCCATCGATGCATGTGCACTTATACCATGCGAGCTGTCTCACAGCTTTTTACACGAATTTCTCCGAACCATACATTTCAAGTGATCAGAACACGTGCTAAATGATTCAGGCGCTTTAACCCGCGCCCGGCTGGGTTCCTGGATTTCCACGCCCTGCTGGGGGGGGGGGGGGGGGTGACCCCCCTTCTAACTCGGCTCCTTGGGCCACGTATAGCGATACGCGGAAGGCGGCGTTCGAAACAGCGCCAAAAATAATGATGAAATTACTTCGGTCACTTTTTTTTGTCAGGTCAAAGGTCATGTCACCAGGGGTCATTGACGGCCAAATTTCGCCGATTTTCAGGTCGAATGTCGACAATTTCCAGGAAGCCAACGCATAATTCGGGAACCAATGGAGCTACAGCGCCGCGGAAAAGCGCATTCGATAGCCCTATTGACGCTCTTTCTGAACAATTCTCTCAGATTTGACCTAACGTCAACGATTTTGCCTGCAGAGGTCAAAAACTACAAAAATAGCCAATTTTTCGGAAATGTTTTCTGCAATAACTTTTGACCCAAGCCTTGTACGAGCTTAATTTCACCGGCTTCGTGTTCCTCTCGTCAAGACGCATCGAATGAAGTATAACATGACCTTGAAAGATCAACTTGCAAATTTGACCTCAGGTCAAGGTCATGACCTGACCGGGAAGTGTCATGTTGCATATCAGTCGATCCGTATCTTCGAGACGAGCACACCTAAGGCATTTTCACCGCTCTAGCATGCCTCTATCAAAAGTTATTTGCGAAAAACTGTTAGACACCATTCGTGACCTGAAATGACCTCAGGGGCCTAAATAGGAATCACGGACACCATTTTCATGTTCAGTGTGTCTAAACCACTTTAAATTCAGTGTTTGGGAGTGTTTATAATATCTTTCATCCAAAAGAGGCGCATTTCAATTTTCTCCCATTGACTTATAATGGGGAGGTCGCAAAATTGACCTGACCCTAGGTCACCGATATCAAAATTCCGAGATAAGCATTTTTATAGATACTGTTACCCTTATCAATCGCTGAAGGTTTCAAAGCGATCGGTCACTCGGTGTAGCTATGGCAGACATTGAAACGTTTTATGAGGTGAGGTCACTTCAAGTGACCTGGTGACCTGACCTTGAATGACCTTGGTCTGAAATTTTCACAATATGTGTAGAATTGATGTATAATAAGGTGTACTAAAAACGGCGGCACTCCGCGCCGCCATTTTTGAGATATTTGCGAAGAACCACAAGGGGGGAGGTTCAAACACCCCCCCCCCCCCAGCAGGGCGCGGGTTAACTCCGTTCTTTCTTAGGTTTGCCAGACTATAGGTGTATAGTGTATACGGAAGTGTGCGCTTGAATGAGTGTAGCGAAATGACTTGCACATACAGTTTGACCCTAGAAGTCAACTCACGGCAGTTCATGGTGTTGACCTCGTCATGGGAGCTGTCCACCACATACGGCGCAATGGCGTTACCGGCCTTGTCCCGGCAGCGGCACCTGGAACCAGCCGAACGCATAGCTTTGATACACACCACCAACGGAATATAGACTTATTATAAACCAGCTTAGGTGTAAAAGCAGGAACACTCATTGATACACATGCAAACACAAACAGCAATAAGTTTGTTCGTGTTTTGAGCTATCTCAGACCCGTGCTCTGCACTTCAATGACTGGCGCGGTCTACGAGACCCACATCTGATCCTCGGCGGTGCAGACTTTGGCGCCGTAGCCGCCGTCCGAGTCGCACGTCTGGTACATGTCGGAGGTGGTCATGCCGTGCGCGCTCAGCAGCTTCACCATCTCCGATGCCACCACGTTCATGGACTCACACAGACGGTTGTAGTCGCCGGGGAAGTAGGTGCTGCTGTCTGCCGGCGCAGGCGGGATTGGAATGGGATCTGTCATCAGCTCTGCTGACTTGAAGATATCTTTGTGAACCTTTGAAAATGTATGCAGATATGTAGTGTCAACAGATGAATCTGAGTAAGGCACGTTCACAGCCAAGAAAGCATGAGTGCCTAAACGACAAACGTTAACTTTTTTTCTTGAATACACCATTTCATCACAGTTCTACTCGTGAAATAAAAGAAGCAGACATGGGCATGGATCCCAGACGACCAAATACGAAAATCGAGATGACCACTAGGTTAGTGGTCTTTAAACGTGAAATTATGCTGGGAAACATGGGTAACAGATGCCTCTCAACAATGAACAAATCAACTATTTTTCATTCCCTCAGAGTTAACAGTTTTGAGAAAATCCCTCAAGATTCATCTCGGATCCATGATCACGAACCATGGATCCGAGATGGATCTTGAGGGATTTTTCTCAGAGCTGTTAACTCTGAAGGAATGCACAATAGTTGGTTCATTGGGAGGCTTCTATCAGCCATGTTTTCCATCATAATTTCATGCTTGAAGACCGTCAATCTAATGGCCATCTCGATTTTCGTGATTGGTTGTCTGGGATCCATGCCCATGTCTGAAAAGAAGTACGTTGAGAAAAAGACGATCAAAAGCAGCTCAGTAGCCTCTTCAATGTACGTACATACGCCAGTCGTATACATAGCCACTTACAGCAGGGCAGTCCCTTCCACATGTCACGTGCCACGGTGGCGCCGTACGGCTGCGCCGTGGTCGAGTTGACGCAGAAGCACACGTCCTGGTCGCACTGCAGCGGCTCGTAGTTGCCGTTGGCCATGCAGTGCAGGGTGACGTCCTTCCGTCCTTCCGCCTTCAGCTGCTCCACTCTCCTGGAGCAGGCTGAACGGGCCAGGAGGGCCAGAGGTCAGTGACGAGGGAGAAGAGATATAAGATAGATAGATAGATAGATAGATAGATAGAGAGAGAGAGAGAGAGAGAGAGAGAGAGAGAGAGAGAGAGAGAGAGAGAGAGAGAGAGAGAGAGAGAGAGAGAGAGAGAGAGAGAGAAAGAGAGAGAGAGAGAGAGAGAGAAAGAGAGAGAGAGAGAGAGAGAGAGAGAGAGAGTCGTAAAAAATAAAAAGAATTACGTTCTCAACAATTTATGTTTTCTATACCCACTACACAGATATGCAAAAACTGCATGCGAGAAACGGTTTAAATTTGTCGCAGACGTCGCTATTTGGCATTCCTGGCTGACGGAGTGTCGGTGCATTAGTCCGCTGTGAATGTTTCCCGGCGTCGACAACCGACAGGAGGGAACGCAAATAGCCCAGAAGGCGTCTGGTAAATACAAATAGCCCATACCAGTCCGACATGTGTTGTGTGGATTTCTAGTGTCGAGACTTGAAAACGGACAGTGATAGTGAATATTCAGGACGTTCGGGGATGGCCTACTCGTATATAGAGTGTGTTTGGGGTTGCGGGAACAGATGGCTGCCACCTGTGGGCATCACAGCCACCGCCGGCACCGCTGGCAGCTGGCAGGAGGGGTATAGTAAGGAGGCAAAAAGATGGAAAGAATTAAGTAGGCCGGCAAGGACGAAAAGATGGACCTTTGTGTGCCCACACCCATTCCACTAATTCCAGTAAGTATCGTCATTCCAAGTAACTGGTGACAATGTATATTTGTGCCGTATCTTCCCGACCTGTCTCTCTCCTCAGCCTGTCCTAATCCCTCTCTGCTTTTATCCCCCACACCATCTCCCTCTATCCCCTTTCTCCCTCCCACAGCCCTCCTGCCACATACCGCAGTTCATTTTGTCCTTCTCGGTGGCCAGATCTCGTCCGTTGGTGCGGTTGCCAATCTCGTTGACGCAGAAGCAGTACATGAAGCTCCCTGGCCGCGTCTGGCACTGGACGGCAGCGAACGTGCCGTCGGCCTCGCAGCGCGGCTCGTACAGGTACGTCTTGACGTCGAGTCCCTCAGTGCGGTACGTGTGCAGCGCCCTCTGACACTCTGTGGGTGCGGGTCCCAGCTGACAGCGGCCCTGCGAGCCGCACTCGAGGCCGGCCGCGCACTCCGGGGTGTCGACCAGTGCGCGGCCCGACACCATGTTCACCGAGTACCGCTCCGAGTCGGGGGTGTCCTCCGGCGCACTGCACTCTTCATCCAGACCTGCCGGACCGCGCGACGTCAGTTTTTTTATTGGTGTATGTATGTAGCTGTTTACCGGCGGACATTGTACACAGAGATTTCGCTTCATGGCTCCAAATACCTACATGTACCCTAGCCGTTAACGGGCGTAGCCCAAACATGTATCGGTAAGTATCGTGGCCCAAACCGTGTATTTTTTTTAATGCGGCACTTCTTACCTTTGTATCTGACGCAGGCGCCGCAGAGCGAGCAGCCGAGGCGTGGGATGTTCTCCTTGAAGAGGTAGCCGCTGGGGCACTGGCCGTCCTTGAAGCCGCCCTCGCACAGTGTCTGGTCGCTGAGCGTGCTGGGACAGGTAGTCACTGCGTCCGCTGACGGCAGCGGCGTCAGCAACGTCAGCGCCAGCGTCACCAGCAGTCCTACACCGGCCATCGCGGGACCGACCTCAGCCTGCGCCAGACGACCTTCTCCCTGCTGCAGCCCGAACCGCCTCCGGCTCAGAACTGGACCTCCCTGTGCAACACTCAGCACCGCAGGACCACCCTCACAGGCACCCACCGGTACCCCACCGTCAGTCCGGCTCGTCTCTGTCTGATATCCGTTTGCCTCCACTCGGCGCCCGGTTGGACCCGATAGAAGGCGGCCCTGGCGGTATCACGGCACCGCTGATCCCCGGATCTGGCCCAAATCAGCGCCGATATAGGCCGCCGTGACGTCACATAGATAGGCGCCACGATAGAGAGTGGCATCGGTGTATCGGAGTGATGAACAACTACTAAGAGACAGACCCATATCCCAGCGATAAGAGATGTAGTGGAGAGGTCAACCGCTACTGTACTGGTCCCTCTCTTCCTTGCCCTGTCGACCACTGCTGTTTTATCGGGCAGATGTGGGATGAGCCGCTACTTAGAGTCTCCTCTCTGTGTGCTAACTCGCGCACCGTGAGTCACCTATGGACTCATAAGGACCTGCCAAATAGAATGATATGTGGCACGACCTCCTTTGACCAGCTTCGTGACATGAGTAGCTTTGACCCGACTTTGACCTGAGGTTAACACCGTAAGCTGACCAATCCCGAATGGAAAATACTCGGACACTCGACGCGCATGAGCGTGATGAACACGATGCTACCAAAAACGGCTCTCCGACCATTTTTTTGCGAAGCTATTGACCACAAATAAAAACTTTGCCTTTGGGGCATTTATTCTCACTTCAGAATTCAACGGTTGACATGAGAACTTAAATTTGCTTAGGTACATACTGCATACTGTTTGTCGCGTCTCGTATCGGTGCATGCCGGATGCGCTCGCTTTTTTGCAAAGTTCTATAGAATAGAGTTTTGCATCTTTTTTACAGTTTAGCTCTATAAAGGGCGAAATGACGAGGAGAGGCTCCAGCAACCCTCGGTACAAACAACCCCAATAATACATAGATCATCGGTTACACCACTTACCGCAAATTATTTAACGTCATTCACGTAATTATATACGTATAAAAATAAATAGAAAAAGCTATTTATTTAAAGCTATATGTATTTAAGAAGCTATACCTATCATGTAATGAGTTTGGGACCATGATCGGAAATCCTCCCAATTTACTCTTTTCTGTCGATTTAAGTACTATACCTATGTATGTGTATATTTTTGCAGTATATAAGTGCAATACAGTGAACTGTATCTGAACAGTTAGTGATTGGAAACCTTTTATAATTTCCTCCCACGTCCTCTGACGCCACCGTTTGGGACGGAGTGTGATTGGCGGAGAGGTCGGGGGCGGAGTCGGAGTCGTCTTGGCGTGCCGGGACGTCCGGCGGTCAGTCGGGGTGAGACGCGCCGGTCACCGACGCGGGACGGCCTGGGACGCCGCTCAGGTGAGGCGCCGGCACGACACCGCGCTGCCGCCGGGACGATTTTTGGCTCAATTGCTAAATAACATTTTTTTGTCAATGCCTTTTTTCTTTTTTTTTCTTATTGAAAAATTGAAGTGGTAATGACCGGACAGACGCCTTTTGGGTCGGCTCACGACGAGCCAGGGCGAGTATGAGTCCTGAACGTGCGGAAGTGAGAAGTGGTAGGTACAGGTCTCGCGGGTTTTAGCGGTAGGTTTTTCACCTAGAAAATTTAGTGTACTTCAGGCTATATCTTCGTTGTCTTAAGCTTTTAAGTGTTGAAGATGCGATTGACTTGTTGGGTAACAAGCCGGCCACCATGGTCGTGTAAAATGGCTTCATCGTAGATCGATTAGTTTCTGAGATATAACCGGAAATGTAAAAGTGCAAAACCTACCGCTTAATCTCGCGAGGCCTGTACATACCCCAAGATGACTTGTGCGGGTCACCATAAGCTCGTCAACCGAACCATTTTCTAATTATCTCCCACCCAATGAAACTGGTACAAAATTTTCATAAGTGTTTTAATCAAAATTCAAACAGCTTAGGGCGGCAATATTTACATACAATTTATCTTTGCTCCATGGTGATGAAGTTTCGAATCTTATTCGTTATTCGAAACATGTGCGTTCTAGGATGGGAAAATGGCATGTGCGGGCGAGGGTTAAAGTGACCATCCCACCTTAACATTAGTTTTGAGTTGAGATAGCCAAATTTGTTTATTTGTTTATTTATTTGTTTATTTGACCAAAAAACAACCACAGGCTAAGGCCCAGTTACGGCTGCAGTCATAGCACACACAAACACTGATAAGCACACAAACACGCACACACAAAGACATCCATACCAAAACGGCAAACGCTGATGCAGTAATGAATAAAATGTGTAAATATATGTATAATGTGTGGTAAAAGCGCAAAAAACGCAAAAACATGAATGCCATAAAAGGATAAGTGGAGGCCGCATGGGTAAGAGGATGAATACAAAATAAAATAAAATAAGAACAAATGATGATAAATCAGAGCAGTTTACCATAAAGTGAGAAAATGAGGTTAACCCTCGCCGGACCTATTGGTTTTCTACATACGCGCCGGCCGAGGGGGGGGGGGGGTACGACCCCCCCTCGCCGTTTCGCCCCTGGTGGAGCTAGTGCGTCGCGAAAAAAACGAGCGTGTGCGCCGTTACGAGACGCAGAGATTGGTACCCGATTTTAAGGTCCTAGGTCAACCGGTGACCTCTGAGGTCATGTCAAGTGCCCCAAGGTACGGTTCAGTTTTTGGTGAATAACTTCGCAAAAAAACGGCCGCAGAGCGCCGATTTTGGCAGAATCGTGTTCGTCTCGCACAGGCGCGTCGAATGATATACTTTTTGTCCGGGTCAGGTCAACTTGGGGTGTTGACCTCAGGTCAAGGTCAGGTCAGCACCCCCAGGTCACGAAGTTGGTCGAAAGAGGTCATGTCGCATATCATTCGATTCGGCAGGTCTTCCTGAGTCCATTGGTGGCTTTCCCGACTCGCTAGCTCAATTTGATCAAGGGTTATTGACGAAAAACTATTATGACCTTGATGACGTCATAAATGACGTCACGCAAGGTCAACATTGCAAAAGTGACGCATCTAACCTTGCAAGGAGTGCATCAAATCACGATTCTGTGTGCTTGAGATAGTTGGAGATCGTTCCCGGCTCCAGAATAGCAGTTTGAATTTTTCCCCATTGACTTATAATGGTGAGGTCACGAAAATGACCTGACCTCATATGACCTTTAGGAAAAATCCGAGATATACAAGTTGTGGGACTCATAATGGATACTAGATCCTGCAAGTTTCATTTCCCTGTGACATCTCCTCTGGCAGTGAGGGCGTTGCGAAGTTGCGACATCTGAAGACCGTGCAGAGGTTCACTTATGACGTCATAGGTCAGTGACCTGACCTGACCCAAAAATGCGGTTGGTGTCAAAAGATCCGGCTTGGATCAAAGGTCAGGTATGCCACGTTTCAGCTCTCTATCGCCAGCGTGTTCGGAGCTATCGCGAAAAAACCCTATGGGGGGGGGGGGCGGCACCCGCCTCCCCCTCGGCCGGCGAGGGTTAAAATAAACGTTAAAATAGTGTAAATGGTATGGAGAAGATGATAAGAGGATGTAATAGTAGAAGGAGATGGTGTTAAAAGAAGCACACATTATAAATGAAAATGCATGTAACTACGTAATAAAAACAGCACGACGCAACTTTACATGCTACTTCCTACCACGGAGTTAGCATACGTAAGAGCCCTGACGACCAGCAAACTGAACTAAGTCCGATCTCAAAGATCGGGACGGCTGGAATAAGTCGCTCTGATGGTTATCCTGCATAAGCGAGTTGAGCAGTTAAGGAACTCGCACCAAACATGGTGTGTCAAAAGTGGAAATAGCCGGTGCGCCGTCTGGCAACCCGGCAGCCCGCCGCCATTGGGAAATTCATGCTTTTTGTCGCTTTTTCGCTCCTTATGAGTCACTTGATCTAATTAGAGCTTAACTAGGAACGAGGCGGGTCACTTGGACGTATTCGGGAGCCGAATGCGGTGTTTTGGAGCCAATACCTGGGAAACCCTATCCGCCCAATACGAGTTTTTAAGAGTCTGCATGCCCAAATTAACGTTGAGCGCGGCCGTTTTCGGTCGGTTTTCCGCGACCTTGTGGCGAAATCGCGTTATTTATTCAACCAGGGTGGGCTAATTCGCTAGGAATGAGGCGTTGAAGAGAATTGTTCAAGGAATAGAGCTGTGCAAAAATATTTTTTGTATTGTTAAAACTGTATCCGCCCTCGAACGATAAATATTGTTGACCCATTAGAAACAAATCCCCTGGAATGCGTTTGGACTTGGCTGGATCTAATATTAGCGAGTATCTGCTAATGCAGTTTCTTGGCTTACACAGTACGCACACAAGCATACATACTTCCTGCCCTTGGTTATTCCTCACTTGAATGAAAATTTTGCTATAATAACTATTCCCAGCAGTTAACAGGTTTTAGTGCAGTGCCAATTCGGAACCGTTCACGGCGCCGCCGGCCGCCGCGCCGCCGCTCTGGCAGGGTGTTTGACTTCATATCTCTGTTGCTAGAAAAGTTGTGGACCGATTTACTTGAATCTTGCATGAAAAGATCCGCCATTCAATTCTTAGCAGATAATGAAAATTTGACGTCAATTGCACGATCCGCTGCCCATATTGTGGTACTGCCATCTATTGACAAGGCTGGCGAACTAAAGCCGGGCGGCTATTTCCACTTTTGACACACCATGAAAGCCTCCTCTCCTCACAGAGTCCACCCTGCCACTTCCACGAGGTACGTGGAACAGCTCAGGGCGTCGTGTGCGTCGGCCTGGTACGGATAAAGGGAACAGTCCCGATATCTCAGCGCAGTCTAGGTGCCCCCTCGGCCCTCATTGCTGAACACGCAAACATTAAATCAGACTGAATAACGCGGCCGGGTCTCAAATTAGTGGCCATGGCCTGCAAATACCGGTTTGGGCACTCACAACATCGAAAATTGCTTTAATTCGGAGATATGGAATTTCAAACTTGCAGTTTTCGGATTCTAAGGGGCTAATGCATTGGAATGCCCCCTTAGAATTTGTGACGTCAGCGGAGATCTAACGATTTTAAATATTTTACTAAAACGTTTGGTAGCACGCGGCGGTAAATGCTGTTTTGCGCGCAACAAGTGCCACAATTTCAAATAAAGTCGCTAGGAACAGCGAAGATCCCAAAAAGTAAGCAAAAGTAAAAGCCTAATATCTTGAAAACCAGTGAATATTTTTCGGTGAAATTTGGTAGCTATTCATTTTTTTTTATCTTTCCGAACCAAGGGAATCATTTTTATGCCGATTCATTAACTTTTTGAAGGTGGGAGGGTCCCTTTAACGGACTTTGTTATTTCATATTTATTGTAGCTAGGGCGTTCCACGACAAATCGACAAATAAAAAATTAAATTTGCACCCTCATATTTTATTTTTCGTTGAAAACTGGTGTAAGGGGTTGTGATGGGCGGGGAAGCCAGCTGTGGCAAGGATTTTTTTCTTCGAACAACGGTTTCCGAGATATAGCTTCGGGCAATTCCAGCAGGTCGCGCTGCAGCCCTATGTTTGGCGGCCTATAACTCAGAAACTATTGGTTTTCTACGATAAAAACTTTGTATGGTTCAACTCACAATCAGCCAACAAACATTTTGGCTATCTCGGATTTTCAATTTTTGAAAATTTTGATCACGTGACCTTTTGACCTATTTTTCGAAGAGTGACCTTGATATTTTCCCCACTGAAAGTTGCAATTTTGTCTGATGACGATTAAAGCCTTATCAATTGTCATTCATATGCGAAAATAAAAAAAGTGGATATCGCCCTGCGTTGACCTCAGGTCAGGTCATTTTTATGACCTGTCCATTATTACGAGCGGGAGCGACGGTGAGATCTCGAGAATAAAGCAAGATAGCGACAAGCGGTAAACGGTGCAGGGTACAAATGGATAAGGTCTATAATTTTTAATGAGGTCATTTTCAGGTCAGGTCAAAGATGACGTCACAGGAGCAAAAAGGAAGTCAAAATTGCGGCACTAAATATATATGAAGTTTTTCTCGAATAACTTTCAAGGTATCCCAGCTAGGAACAAACCAATAGCACCATCGTGATCCTCTCGTCGATCCGCATCGAAATATATGTGTGTTGACCTCGAAAGGTCGAAAGGTCAAAAGTTGACCTTAGGTCACGTGACGAGCGGGAGCGACAGCGAGATCTCGAGAATAAAGCAAGATAGCGATAAGCGGTAAACGGTGCAGGGTACAAATGGATAAGGTCTATAATTTTTACAAAGGACATTTTCAGGTCAGGTCAAAGATGACGTCACAGGAGCAAAAAGGAAGTCAAAACTGCAGCACTACATATATATGAAGTTTTTCTCGAATAACTTTCAAGGTATCCCAGCTAGGAACAAACTAATATCACCATCGTGATCCTCTCTTCGATCCGCATCGAAACATATGTATGTTGACCTCGAAAGGTCGAAAGGTCAAAAGTTGACCTTAGGTCACGTGACCCAAGGTCAACTTTTGACCTTTTGACCTTTCGAGGTCAACATACATATGTTTCGATGCGGATCGACGAGAGGATCACGATGGTGATATTAGTTTGTTCCTAGCTGGGATACCTTGAAAGTTATTCGAGAAAAACTTCATATATATGTAGTGCCGCAATTTTGACTTCCTTTTTGCTCCTGTGACGTCATCTTTGATCTGACCTGAAAATGACCCCAGTAAAAATTATAGACCTTATCCATTTGTACCATGCACCGTTTACCGCTTGTCGCTATCTTGCTTTATTCTCGAGATCTCACTGTCGCTTTCGCTCGTAATAACGGACAGGTCATAAAAATGACCTGACCTGAGGTCAACGCAGGGCGATATCCACTTTTTTTATTTTCTCATATGAATGACAATTGATAAGGCTTTAATCGTCATCAGACAAAATTGCAACTTTCAGTGGGGAAAATATAAAGGTCACTCTTCGAAAAATAGGTCAAAAGGTCACGTGATCAAAATTTTCAAAAATTGGAAATCCGAGATAGCCAAAATGTTTGTTGGTTGATTGTGATTTGAACCGTATAAAGTTTTTATAGTAGAAACCAATAGTTTTTGAGTTATAGGCCGCCAAACATAGGGCTGCAGCGCGACATCCAGGAATTGCCCGAGGCTATATCTCGGAAACCGTTGTTCGAAGAAAAAATCCTTGCCACGGCTGGCTTCCCCGCCCATCACAACCCATTAGACCAATTTTAAGCAAAAAATAAAATATGAGGGTGCAGGGCACTTGTCGATTTGTCGTGGAACGCCCCAGCTACAATATTGAGCTTCAAACGCAATTGACATATTTCATCCCACTGCATACGTTCCCAGGGACGTGCTGCGAGCTCAGAAGTCCGTTACTAAATTGTCTCTTCTCTGCTGTATCGCGTGTCTCAATCATTAGGTACATTCTTATGGATACTTAGCGAGCTCACAGATTCAAGTCTAAAGTAGCTGCATTGCGCCGTGTTTACATAGTCATCTGCCTATAATCTGCCTATCATCATAGGTAATAAGATAATGACCAGCAATTTGGTGAGATCAGGTTCCGTTTTTAGCGGCAGAATATATGCCTGCCGTTTTCTTGCTTTGTATATATTTACATACTGATCGACATTTTCGTAGCCAAAATTGTTGCACTTTAACTCACTTAAACTCATTATACATATGAATGTATATCGTATACTGCTTGATATCCTATACCAAGTCTGCAGTGCTATCAAGGCTTCTTATTGTTCTTATTATTCCGCTATGGCGATCAAGCCTATAGGGTCGGGGCAGGTGGCTCATAATGATTTATCTTTTCCGTTTAAAGACCAGGTGAACTTCTTATGAAAGTAGAGAGGTCCTTACTAACCTCGTTTAGATACATAGGCGGATCCAGAAAGGCGGTCTCGGACACTGCGGGTGGGGCATAACCCCCGAAAAAGCATCTCCAAATTTACAAACGCCTTGGATTTCGATTCTTTATGCACTGCTGTCCGTTTTAAGGAAATAGACCATTTTTGACATGGATTTGGGAACTGAAATAGCCTTTAATAGTTCATGAGCTGAGAGTCAGACTTGCCACAAATCTGAAGTTTTTACTCCCCAACGATCACCTTAGCCAAAGATTTGTCGGTCTTAGTACCGATATCATTCCTTTACGGCGGAATGCTCCCCTAGTACGGAAGAATTCCAAGATTGCAGCCACCTGTGACAGAGGCCAATCGTCAGCCAATCAGTATGCGGCTGGTTTGAACTAGGTAATGTGATTGGTCAACGTGTAATCAGCTTCCGCCGCGACCAATATCTAGCATCTTCCAAAGATGGAAACAATTTCTTTCCGTATGAAAATATTTTGAAAATTCCTTTAGTAAATATTTAATATTTTCTCTTTTGATCATTTTAAGCATGAAAAATAATAACACTGAAGCAAAAAGCAAATTTCAAAAAAGTAGTAAGTATGATGCCTTAAAAGCAAGCTTTTCCTGATATTTTTTTTTTATATCCTTTCTATTAAAAAACGACAAATTTTAATCGTTTTCGGGCGCTGCGAGTCCCCTCCACTCCCCGCCGGATCCGCCCTTGGATCCGCCAGTGTTGGAAAAGTCACATGCTTCTAGTGAAGCATGATTTATAAAAAAAAAATAAGGGAAATAAATACCTATATCTTTAAAAGATAAGGCAAACACCTATTATTGTTAATGGAAAAAGTACGATCGGTAAGTGCATAAACATACCTAAATCGTTTTTTATGAGGAATAATAGCATGTCGTAGAAGAATAACCTTATGCTCACTATCTTTTAACAATCCGAAAATTAGCCTAAAATCAATGAATATATTTCGGAAACGTTCCCTCTTCAGTTCAAAAAGTTAACTATCATAGTTAACTTTTTGAACTGAAGAGGGAACGTTTCCGAAATATATTCATTGATTTTAGGCTAATTTTCGGATTGTTAAAAGATAGTGAGCATAAGGTTATTCTTCTACGACAAGGAATAATAGCACTTATGTTTGTGTTATGTTTTCCGTGTTTCATTGTTGCTAGTGACAGCTATGCTGCAACGTCCACAGTCCGCGCTCCCGACCAGTGATGACGTCATCATTTCGGGGCGCGCTGACGCCGTGTGGCGTGGCGCCGCTGCTGCTGGCGGTCGGCGTGGCCGCGCTGGTGACGTCAGCCGCCTCCAGCAGCGACGCCGACAAGCGCTTCGACTGCAGCGTCTTCTGCAAGTCCACCGGCTTCAGCGGCGTGGTCGGCGGCTGTCGCTGCAGCTTCACCTTGTTCACCTCCAAACGCGCCTACATGTGAGTGCCCATAGTCAAACTCGGGCCGGGTGAGCGAAGCCTTTGTAATTCGTTCGGGATCTCGAACTTACAGCGCGCGGTTACAGGTACTGCTCAATGCACATCATAGTTAGGTCTACAACTTGCCGTAAGCAGAAAATGAAAACTTTGACGAAACTGCATTAGCCTGACGTCTTTCAGCGTGGTTGGTGACAGGCCGCTATGCGTTTCGGGAATACCTATTTTCAAAATAAGATAAGAGGATTCTGGATCGTCCACTGGTGGATTCAGCACACCTATTGAGTTGTTTGACTTTTGTGCAAAGACGTGCTTGCTATTTTCGTTAGACAAAGTGAGACGTAATTGGATTCTGAGACTTCTAAATGTCTCCCGGTCATTTCTAGCGCGCCACTAAGGTGATTTCATTAGCCCGTCTCGTATAGAATCAGCCCCTTCCTGTTTTAGCTCGGTTGTTCTCAGCCTTAATGGAAGCATAAAACATTCAGCATCCACACGAGGGTCGCCATCCCGTGAATTCGGTTGTCGCTATTAGAACCGGATCGCGTCAATAGCAGACGATAGTTAATGATAAAAACAGAATAGAAGTGAATAAAGATAACGTTAGATGTTTGCATCTGATTCATCTTTCTGCCACATTTCGTTCTCTGCAGCCGTTGCTGAACGGTCCACCCGCTGGTTTCAGGCCAGGTTCCCACCACCACCTGCGCGCCCCTGGACGCTCCGACGACCTCAGTCTGCTGGGTCGGATCTTTGGGCGTCGCTTGCGCCGGCCCGCGGATGACATCCCTCTGCGGCCGTCCAGCCGAACAGCGCATCTAGTCAACAGCGACGGCATGACGGCGTACGGCGCCAGCTATCAGTGACTGGCCGCTCCGCGCCGCCGCGCCGCCGCGGCGTCAGCGAGCGTCATCGACTGTCATCGAGCGTCATCGAGTGTCAGATGGTGTCGTCGGCGCCCAGATCCAGTTTAGGTGGTTTATTGCTACATGACAGGGTTAAAATTAGTTGAATTCTTACGCTATCCCCAACATTGCGCAATGCTTGAAGAAGGTTGAGGCTGGTCTTCCCAAGCTTTGCCAAATTGTCTTTTTGTTGTTTTTCACGACTTTCTCACAAACAATGCAGTAAATGACGCGTGCTCGACCGTCTTCTGGCTGATTTCTGATGGCAACTCGTGTGCTATGTGCGGGATGGGCCCCATTTGGTTCATTTGTGCACAGGTGATGACAGGCCCCTGACTAGCTGACACGATGTGGCGCGTGACTTCGTAACTCGCCGGCTCGTAAATACCTCGCCCCCTGGGACCGTGGCTGGTCGGACTGGCTGGTGTTCACAGTTAGGGATACATCAGTCGCACACGGGCGCGGTTTGGTTCGCTCGCATCTCCATCCCGCCCGTGAGCTTTTGTTCGTGTCTATAGTGACTGGAGGACTGGCTATAAAAGTGTCTTAGCGTATCCATATGAAGTTGGGGAATCATGTCTGTTTATGTTAGGTGTCATGAAGAAAATGGTCACAAAAATTCAGTATCATCAGAATTGACCTTACCCTCAATGTGTCCTTATCTGTGATGTGTGATGACTAGATATAATTTATGTCATGTAATATGATTGCATGTTGCTCTGCGGTGTTATAGAATATGAAATAAGACGACGGATAATCATTTACAGAGCATACCTGATCCTGGTTTAGCATTGCTAACGCACTTCGATGAAATGCCTCCTCTCAAAATTTTTGTGCTGTGTGAAATGCGAATCCTTCTACTGATAATGTTGCCTGGTATCAGGTATACTTGCTGTCTTCCCTCGACTTTGCATGACTTGGTTGGTAAACCAAGTCTTGGTTTATAAAAAAAAAAATGGTTGGTAAGGATGCATTGAATACAAGGTCAAGCATACTGGTGCATTTATGAACTACCTACGCTCTTATTAAATACGGTTGAATGAATGCTATTCTGTTGTATGTATCTGGCTGCGGCTGGTTAAAGGGACTATCCCACCTTTAACATGGGGTTTGAGTTGAGATAGCCAAGTTTGCGGCGAGGTTCAGAAACCCGGGTTGCAACCCCCGCGGCCTCTTGGTGTTGAAGAAATTCGTTCCCTTCATTTGAAAATGGGCCTTGTACAATGCCCTATCTTCAACATGGAGCGACCGTTAGTGTGACGTCACCTCGTTTAGTCATTCTGATTTAAATGGGTTTGTTCGTTGAAAAATCGCTTAAAACTTGGTCTGAACTTTGTTGTGGTGCCTACAGAGTAAAAAGAATCAGCTTTATGACAGTAATGTGGCCTGGGGAAGGAGGTAATTTTGGGCTGTGACGTCACATATTTGAAAGTTTGTGTTTGGAATATGGGAAGCCTAAGATGTTTAACCCGCGCCCCACTGGGGTCTGTGTATAACACGCCCTACTGGGGGGGGGGGGGCTATTCATAGCCCCCCCTCCTAACTCCGAAACTACTGGGCCGATCGTCAAAATTCAAACGGCGTCTGATAGCCCCGGAAAAACTGTCGAGCGAAACCTAATTTCATTGACCTCGAGGTCACCGATGACGTCACAGGTCAGGTCAAAGTAAAAATTATTAGCATTTTGGCTTGTTCACATTTTGGGCTCTGGCTGCCGACTTACAAGTCAGATCAGGCTCATTTTTGGTTTCCACACTCGTGAACAGATGCTCTAGATACTATGAGGGTACCAAACTTGTACTTTGATTTTCAGGTCAGGGTCAGGTCATCACAGGTCACGAAAATATTATATCATCCGTCGGTCACGTGACACATGTTTTATGGTCCATTTAGGCCATAGATTTCGAATTTGATGTCGTCTGTGTCATTCGAGGTCATTTGGAGTCGAATTTAGCTTAGGTCAGGTCACTTTCAGGTCAAAAAAGGTCAAATTTTGAAGTAAAAGGTGTCTATTGGATGCAGTTTGAGCTCAGGAACACGATGTTGCCATTTATATTGGTGTACGATGTCAAATACGTACGTAAAAATTGATTTGAAAAATTAATAATTGTGAATTTTTTGCAATAATGCGTATAACTTGGCCATTTTTGAAGATATTTAGCTAAAACTTGCTAGAGTTAGTCAAAATCATGCGTTCTGTCACATATATTCCGGTTTTTTCGAAAAGTCAAAAACTTTTTTGAAAAAAATATAAAAATATAAATTTTGAATATTATTATATAAAATTTTCGAAATTTTCAAAATTTTGAAAATCCGAGATAGCAGTTTGATAGCGCGGTCAATTCTGAGTCCTTTCATGCAAAGAAATTGGATCTAGCTTAAAAACTGAGCTCTTGGGAGCGATTGCCGTGGTTCAATGTTTTGCGTCGAAATCGGACGAACATGACGTCACTCTGACGTCATTTCCGGCCGACCTATGGTAGCTAAGAAGTTCAAATTTTGACACAAGGTGTCAAATTGATGCAGCCAAAGGTACTGAAAGTTTGGCGTCGATCCGGCAAGCGGTTTGGAAGTTATTGCAGAAAAACGGGAGGGGGGGCTATAAATAGCCCCCCCCCCAGTGGGGCGCGGGTTAATGAAAAATAAATGCCAGAACCGTGTTCCTGGTCATCCAATCTATAAAGTCGGGCACAATTTAACTGGTTTTAACAACATTTTAGAAGGTGGAATAGTCCCTTTAAGCAACAAATTCAACCACCATCGTTGCAAGGAAATATTTGCATTGGTTGAATAATTGATGTTCTTCCTGCTGCTTTCATTTTTATCTTAACACACGAAGCGAAACGGCCATGTTTCGAAGGTATTCATTCATATCTTGCGGCCCGTGAACATGCACGTGGTGTTTGTTTTCACTAAGGATACTCATAGAAATAAAGTAGTACTCCGAGAAAGGGAGAAACTTCTCCCCGCAAGAGCTATAAAACCATCCTCGTGTCAGCAACCCCATGTTACCTGTTGCCAATAAATCGACTCGAGGTGCCAATATCACTGGAACATGTGAAACGGCAACTTTGGAAGAATAACGAACTTGAATCGAGCGAACCAGGCTAAGAAAGACGAATGTCGTCCTCAGCGAAATACTCCGGTTGCACGCCATATCTGTAAGAATTTAGGCACACCATCAGGTCAGCAACAGCATTTAATTTCAACACGGTCATTAACCCTCACCCACACATGGGGGGTTGCCACCCCCCCCCCGGTAGTCTTTCTGCTATGCACTCAACATTTTTAGAGCTAGAAACCTGATTTTTCGTAAAAGCTGCTCATCTATCCTTTCTTGATGGCCACTGAAAATTTCAAGTTTCTGTGGTTTTTGGTTTCGGGTTTTTGGTTTCGGAGATATGACCTTGTTTTTCAGGTCATGTCATGACCCAAATGACCAATTCTCAACATCTTGCGTTGGCTGTGGGCCTTGTGAGTTTTTGACACCTTGATTTCGGCCTTTTTTGCCAGTCTTACCTCCCACCTATAGGTATCATGGGACATGTTGTTCGACGATGCACAGATGTCAAGGTCAGGGCCAAGGTCAACCTAGGTCATCTAAAATAATTGTGTTTTAGGCAAGCTGAACTTACTTTTCGTGAAGTTTTTTGACTGCATTTTTGGTAAAAGCTTCTCAGATTATGATTTCATGTAATATGGACACATAAACAATTGGTGCACACATCAGTAATACACAGTAGGTACACACAGACACACACACAGACATACAAACAAATATCATTGACCTTGCTTGACCTAACTTGACCTGAAATGACCTCAGCAGCAAAAACCTGGTCAGGTAGTGTGACAAAGAGGTCAGGTTCCAGCGGGCTTGGCACCAGAAAATGGCATCGTCATCGGTATGTGATAAGCAGCGCACTTGATATCCAACGGTGACCCAAAACAGCAACATTTTTTTTTGTTTGACCTGACCTGGAAGGTCAACGACTGACTTGAGAAGGTAAAACTGGGTGCCATTGGATTTGTCTCTTCCCAAAGAATCTTTTTGGTCTTTACCGCGAAGCTCTATCTCCAACAGGAACGAAATGGCGCGGGTGGTGGTGGTGGCAACCGGCAACCCCCCCCCCCCCCATGTGCGTTCTAGGATGGGAAAATGGCATGTGCGGGCGAGGGTTAACCCTATTAGTGGCAGGCTCCTGGCTACCCCTATTAGTGGCAGGGGGGGGGGGCTGTTTACGACCCCCCCTTGATATCTCGAGATCTAACAGGCCGATTTTCAAAATTCAAACGGCATTCGATTTTGCTCAACGTGATCTACATTTCTAAAAAATAAAAATCAAAAAATGTCAATAGGAGGGGGTAGAGGGGGGTAAAAACGGGCAAATTGCAGATACATTTTAGACTGTTTATTACGTTCAGGTTTCTGAACCAATCTTAACGCAACTTTTGCCGATCGATAGAGAATGAACCAGGAATTCACATGGATCCTAAAAATATGCATTTTTAAAAATCATGGGCGGATACAGATCATTGAGATTAGGGTACACAAAAAGTATAGTAAATAAGGTTTTTGTTGGTACTGTTTCTAAAGAGGGTGGTAATGGTCTTGCTATGTTACAATTTTCTTATGAGAGAACGACTACAATTGTATTGGTCATGCATAGGCGGTGTCAGGCCACCTATGTTGGGAGGTAAAACATAACCCCCCTTTTTGGACGCCTGGATCCGCCTATTATAGCAAAAACGTGTCAAAAGAGGATGCACAATAACTTTGTATATGTTATCACATGATACCTTTCATTCACTGTTCGTAAAACTGGTGCAGCATCGTGATCTTCGCCCAAATGACTCGCTTCACAAATAGGACCCCCCAATTCCCAGTGCTCTGGAGCCGCCCCTGGTAAAGTTATGAACTTGAAATTTTCAGGGAATGTGCCCAATTTAGTTTCAGGAAAAGTCAGAAAATTTCAGCATCGTAGCTTCAGCGGTTTCGGAGATATTCCCGAAAAACCTTGGGGGTGGATGAAAACAACCCCCCTGCCACTAACCGTTTCGCCGTTAAGGGGGGTTGTTTTCGAAAACAACCCCCCTGCCGTTTCGCCCCTGATCAAGCTAGAGCTTCGCGGAAAAAACGAGCGTGTTGCCCGTGACGGGAGGAAGCCAATTTTAAGGTCCTAGGTCATCGGTTGACCTTCCAGGTCAGGTCAATGACCCAAAGGTCGGGAAAATCGGGACCTGTTATAACGTCGTAAAGCGTGGCTGCTATGGGTTTTTTTCGGGGTGCTGATCACGAATATCATGTTAGTTTTGATCACAGATGATGTCTTCATGCACATAGGCCAGGTCGGGTCAGGTCAGGTCAGGTCAACCAGTGAGGGTATTCGTAGTAGGTGGCAACCGCCTCTGACAGCTTCGTAACATGTTACGAAGTCACCAAAACTACTTCGTAAATGTTCAAATGGTTGCTAAATTCGAATTCAGCTCCCAAAACTAGCCTAGAAACATGTAAAACTCGAAAAAGTGAACCGAGGTCATCAAAGGTCAATGACCTGACTTTACCTTCCGGTGACCTTGACACCCACCCTCATGCATGGGAGCAACATTATATTCCATGTTTGAACGCTTAAAACCACGAAAAGACTGCAAACGCGCTGCTAATGCGAGCCGACATACGCCGAATAGCGATTCCGGCCAAACATGGTCTCGAAAAGTAGGTCACAGGTCAAAGGTCATTAGGGTAAGGGTTATGAAAATTTTAGGGTAGGAGTAAAATTGATTAACGCGAGGGTACTAAAAATTTCGTCGCGATCGGCCGCTTTTTACGCGAGTTATTCGCGAAAAACCAAGGGGGGTCCGTTCGACCCCCCCCCCCCCGGGCGAGGGTTAACCTTCGCCGGCCGAGGCCGGAGGTGGGGGGCAGTTGCTGCCCCTGAGTTTTTTTTTAATTTTGTTCGGAACGCGCCACTACAGAGAACGGAAGTCGGCACACAT